TTACATTATATATTATGATACATATGACACTATTACGATTACATTACATATTACATTATATATTATGATACATATGACACTATTACGATTACATTACATATTACATTATTTATTATGATACATATGACACTAATACGATTGTATTACATATTACATTATATATTATGATACATATGACACTATTACGATTACATTACATATTACGATACTTGGCTTACGTATTAGATAATGTACTACATATCAAATTAACAGGATAGTTTATCAGTACATACTACACTACATATTTTATATTGCGATACATGGTTTACACATTACATTATATTCTACACATCAGATTGACAAGACAAAATAACGCCTTACCTTAACATTACATTAACTTCCAAATACTTATTACATTAATTTTCTTTCCTAATATACCGTATACTGGTAACAGATACATTATCATCAGATTGTAATAATGTTGTTTTTGCACTGGCTGCGCATTCAACACAAGATGCGCATTAAATTATACACAGGGAAATTAGTGATACGTAGGAAAAACATTATGCACAGAAGGGGTGTATATACATGATGCGTGTTAAGTTACACGCAGGGAAATTTGTTATGCACTGGTGAAACATTATGCAGGATAAATTATACTGACTAACTTATACGAAAAGTGCATATTACATTACTCCTTATATAATTAAAGCCGGTAAGCTTTACAATGTTATTCTGTACCGAAGTTCTTTATACTTATAATACATTGCTTAATCATTACATTAATATATTTACCATGTACAAAAACATATAATGGATTACATTAGCATTCCTTAATATACATAGATTACTTTGCATTTACAGTTAGCATATTACTGCAGAATTTTGCATCTGTGCATTTCTCCATTACTTACATTTCGCACCTTAGAATAGGTCGCGGTATATGGATGTGATGGTATTAGTACGCGTAGTACATGAACTGTCCTGCATTGCGTAATTTGCCAGTATTGACACGTTGCTGTTCTGTTGAAGGCAAGGCAGTTATACGCGCTGCAAAGTGCATAGTTATATGCACGATAACTGACCTCAGTGCGTAATGTTCATTACTGACTCAGTTCATTTGCATTATTTACAGTTTTAGTTTGTGAGCTGCTCGTAGCACATCATGCCGATAGTTATATATACATGGAGTTTGTATGACATGGTTTTTAATTTACACGATACATGGCACATGGTAAATGGCGTTGTACACTCCACCTTGCATTTGCATATCATAGCTTAGCACGTTTGATTAGACATAAGTCTGTGCCCACGTTCATGAGTTTATCAACTATCTTGTTGATTTTTCGGACAGTACGTAAAGTAGTCGGAAACTACACAAAGGGATATATTTAAGCTATAAAGAATTTCTACCGCCTTCTTAGCATGCCTTTGTGGGGTAGTGGTCAGCACACTCGGCGCGTATTCGAGAGGTCAGTTGTTCGAATCCCGGGGAGGGCATTGCTCATTTTTCATGTCTCCTACTTCGAAATAACCTAATATATCTACAAAGCTGGCTCAGATATTTCAGCGGTGCTTTTTTAATATCGATTAACAGAATTGCTAAAAGCCAGAATAAACTTTGTTAGAGCTAGTGATAGGACCTAAACTGTAAGTGAGGCTATTAAAGGCTCTAACCCTAAAACATTCAAGCCGTGGGCTTAAATACTCGCACAACTAATTTCAATTCTGGTGCGGATTGCAGAAAGAATTTATATTAAAGGTTCAAATCATAAGAATTGGTCAATTAACATAAAATCCTTATAACCTTACATTTACAAAAGAAGAGTTAGCAATGACACGATTTTATTTGGAAAGTAATTATGCATGAAAGATATATTATTATAATTCTTGCCTGAGAGCATTTTAACTAAACTTTGTAACTGTATAATGTGAACATAGTTCTTTCACGAAGTAAACTTAATAGGGAAGTTTAATGTATAGGTGTTGGTATCATATTTGAAACTTAAAAATGTGAACTTAAGAGCCGCATTAAAATTCAGCGTGTAGGATTTTATGTTAATTAACCAATTATTATGATTTGAAGCTTTACTATAACATCTTTCTTTCCGTGGTCTTCACCAGAATGTAAATTAGCTGCTGAGTTTTTAAGCCAAGGGTTTGAATGCTTTAGCATTAGAGCTTCTAGAATTCTCGTTTATAGTTATGTGCTATCGCCTATTCCGCTTCAGCCATTTTGCTAGCCGGCTTTATAAGCATTCCGTTAATTACTTAAGTCACGTTACTTAAAACTGAATTTCAATTTATGCTAGTTTAAATACTCGCAAATGGAGGAATTCGCTTTGTAGCACAAGTAGTGTTTTCTATTAATTTCAAGAGCTAAATAAAAAGGTTACACTCGTATTAACTTTCGTACGTTCATTTGAATTCAGACTAGACTCCAACGCACACGACAAAAACAGGTATGAGTAATGAATTATACATTGTTTATAAACTGGAAGGTTACACAAGGGATATCTCATTTGGAAACCCCATTTGAGCGTTAGTTATTTGTGTAAAGATCATGCTATATCTCGTAAAAAGCTAAAACTTCTACCAGCCATGCGTCGGGATTTTACCGCTGCATGATCGTGGCCTATCGGGACTGCGGTTTGTTGTTCCTCAACACTGCTACTTGTGTTCCCCAAACTGCCAGACGAATATGGAATTGATGGGTCCAGGATAGCCATACTAAACGCCGTGCAAGATTTCAGAGGCCCAGGGCCACTAAAGATCGAGAGAACAGACATGTTGTCCGCCAGGCTTCGCGGGACTGTGCAGCCATGTCACGTACCCTGAGTCAGGAACTTCTCTTGTGCGCAGAACGACAAGTGTCCACACAGACAGTTTAATGACCTCTTCAACACCACAGACTGTCAACATAGCGACCTTTAATGCAGCTTCCCTTGATGGTGCACTAAAGGTAGGTGCGCCTACAGTGATGGGATAAACGACAAAACAGGACACAGAAGTGCACCACATCATAATGAACGTATTTTTCTGTGGAGGCACTGAGGAAAATGAATGATGCCAGTTTGCATTCGTCATATAAGGGCTCATAATCTGCCCTGCTGCTGTGTGGTGCCATTGAGTACACAGCCCGATCGCCTCTTGTTCGCATGGCCGGTAACGTCGACAACCGCCGTTACATTTCTGATACATTAAGGCAGGTGCTTGAGCCATATCTTCGAGGTCTGCATGAATGCCCTCTTTCAACATAATGCATGAACGCATGCGTCCTGGGCTGTCCTTACCTTCATCGATACAGAAAGTGTTCGACTGTTGCTTTTATGAGAGAGTGGTACGCAACTACTCGCCAGTCACTACAGTTGAAGAACTCTGGCATAGAATTGAAGCCATATGGAAATGGAATACCCGTATTTGTCATGCAAGCTCAGTCCAACACGATGCCCCGCAAGATTGCAGCTGTTGTTGTTGCCAAAAGTGGCAGTTGTATGTACGTATTCTGCACGTTATGTACTCCAAACCACCTGCAAATTTAATCATTTCTACCTCCCATTATTCCGTGTATGTGCAATAAAAATTATTCTGTTTTTTATCTTTTCTTCGTGGTGTAGCAATTTTAATGGCCAGCAATGTAAAAATAATTAATCAATAAATGATTCGCTACAGGTGTTGAGAGCAACACTCACAATTTACCGCTAGGCATTTTAGTTAACCCCCCCCTTTTTTCTTTTCGAAAATACTGAAGACGTAAATGGTAAGTGAAGCATCATTTCCAAAAAGACATACCTTTAATTGCAGCTTGCTAAGATGAATGGTCATGGATTACTTCAAAATCCTTATGAGAAGAGATAAAGATTTTACACACAGAAGAATTTTATTGATAAATTATTTCCTTCTGAAAAATAATTATATAGAACTGTAAAATTCATAAAACCGGTATATTCGCAAGTAAATTTTAAATTCCTTATAATTTGTAGATGATGTAACTGTATTAACCTTATAGTCCAATTAGAAGCTAATGAAATTTGGTTTAAGAGAAACAAGAACACCTTGTAGAACATTATTATCAGACATTGTAATAAGCACAATTATGAGAAAAAAGCACTGTTATAGAGTATTGTAGAACACTATTATTATTATATCTTCACACAGTAACAAAAATGTACGTATGTTAAGATAATGTTAACTATTCAAACAACAATCAATTTTTTATCTATTTGATACTTAAATAGTAATCAGTTTGTCACCAGTGGCTATTTGATCATTTAATAAAGTTTAATTTCAATGTAAAGATTTAATAAATTAAGAAATCACTTCCTTGTAATTTCATACATTAATTAATGTTAAAGAATAACTGAAGAGTTTCTGAAATGTAAGCGACAGAAAGATAGGTGCGATTTGTAAAAATTGACAAGTCATTCATTTTTTTGTATTGACTTTATTAAACTTATCAGTCTTTATTATTTTCGTTTCAACCCTTTTAATAAATTTGCAATTAGTTTTTTCTATGTTATATCCTTTTCACTCTGCTTACACTCCAGAAGTGGAAGGCGATTGAATTCGAAATTCTGCAAACAAATGATATAGGTTTATAGTGACTCTTCACGAAATGTAATTTCCATAGAGATAAAATTGTATTTTAACACGTATTAGTACAAATCATTAATTAATAAGTAATTGATCTTACATTCGGCTGGACATTGTTACTGCTGGTATTCTGAAACTTAACTGTGGATTTGTTACTGCTGGTATTCTGGAACTTAGCTGTAGATTAAAATTATTGTTCTAATTTATGTTTAAGTAATACAATATAATATACTATTTTGAGATAAATAAGAGTAGCACTAGCAAGTTAATTTGGATTTTCTACCAGGTCCAGTTTTTCACGCTGCTAGAGGAGTGCTTATAAAACACATGTCTCCCACTTTAATGAAAGGTGCCTACTCTTAATAGAAGCACCAGCAACAAGTAAAAAGTATATGTTTGAAATTCATATTTGCATTTATGTTTTTCAGAGTTCAAATGTTATGGGGACTCTAGAAAAAGTTCTTATTTTGATGCTCATTGGAAGCTGCAGTGGGATTGCGCCTCAACCCCATATAGTGTTTATGATTGTGGATGACCTAGTAAGTAGAAACTTTCTTTTCAAATATTATCAAGAAAATATGTGTGACCGGAATTTTCCATTCCAAGCTAATGACATTTCTGAATCTTAGCTGTTTAAAATAAGTAATCTTTTAACTATGCAAAACAATGATTTAGAGATACAAAAAGTGCTACTGCCTAGCAATTTTTATAATTAATCTTTTAAAATTATTTTTTGCTGGGGTAGTTTCTGCGCTTTTCTAAATAATTAAGACATTCTTGCTGTGTTGGGAGTGGAAAATTAATCCGGTAATCTGAAGACCTGGGTTTACTGAGGACACAAGTTTTTAAGTGTTTTCCCCTCTTAAACTTTTAATGTCTAGGTCAGGGGTTCTTAACCGATGGTACGCAAGAGAAAAATAAGTGGTACGTAAAAAAGAAGCAAAGTATATTTGTCTATTAAATTCAAAAATTAAAACCCTAACATCCTAATTTAGTTTTTCCTCTAACATTCGTAAATTTATGCGATCTGAGCTTTGTTCAAGAGTGGTGGTGGTAGTAGTACTTTGTAGTGGCGGTACTAAAGGTTTCCAATTTTTGTTTAGATGGTACGCGTTAGTCAAAAGGTTGAGAACCGCTGGTCTAGATACTATCTGCTAAACTAACAGTGAGCCAGAGTCTCTACATTACGGGGAAAACGCTGTCAATTTCTCTAGAATTTTTGTCCTCAGAATATCTGATGTGTTTAATACCGCGGATATTTATGAATTGCAAAACTTCAGCAACTTCAATTAGTGGAATGGAAGTAATCTTTCTTTCCAATCACTTTTTAGTCGAGGGAGGTTTTAAAAATATCCTCTTGTACGTTCTTGTGGTGTAATGATGTGGATATCATTCTTATAATCTAAATACCCCAATTTGTTTCTTGAAGGGGATATAGTAAATTTTTTGAGCATTCTTTGCCCTTAAACTTCTAATGTATCCACGCTCTTAAGAGCATATGATGAACGTTTATTTTGTACAAAAGGAAAAATTAATCCTTCAGAAAAGTAGGCACCATTTTCATTAATAGTCTTGTGACAAATAGTCAGGCAGATTTCAGATTTCATCCACACCGAAATGAAGCAGCTTAGAAGCGATGAATTCTGCCAGCCGTTCATTCACATAGGCTTTCCTGACGAAGGTTCATCAACCGGTGACAGTTCTAAGGTTGGGATTGTCTGTCAGTGTTATTGCATGGTGTTGGACTATAAGCGGATAAAGCAAAATTTCCCTAACTTCCGGCGAAGTACTCGATGCATGTCTTTTACTTCAAGATAGTTTTTGAAATGTTGTAGGAAAAGAGCAGGGTAACGCTGCGACAGTATCCTAACAAATATGTCAGCGAGAAGCTGTAATTGCTAACGGTGCACTTTGACGGTGATTGCTGGTGCTTGGTTGGAGCTACTCTTGTGCCCAGGTAAATCCTACTAAACTCACAGGATCAATTTACGCAGGTGAACTGTTATTTAGACTGACGGCTAGGAGGGTCACATTTTTCCGTTCAGTTTCATATGGTCTTTCCGTTTCCATAGATAGAAGCACAATTTTTCTGCCCATTGGTATTGAAATCGAACCTTGATGTCAGTGCAGTATTAAGACAACAAAGAACTAGCAAATTAAACTAGGGATTTGTCGATGACTCATAAATAATTTTTTTTACAAGAACTTGCTGTCTAAGTTACGTGCATATAAGTGATCAATCACAGTGCTCTTGAGTAAAGGTTTCTGCAAGTTCATGCCTAGATTTACATAGTTACATGCGGGTCTGCTGCTATCTGTAGCCCACCATCGTCGTAACGGGAGCCGTTCTTCAAAGTCGATATTGCTATCACAGAAGCGCATGAGCCAATAAGTCTGTTTAGAATTTTCTCGCAATACCTTCACCAAACAAGGTGTCAAAGCGGCAAGGTATCTACCACCTTTCTCCCCTTCCACCAATCTACACGAGAGGACATTCGACTCGCCGCATATTTAGAATGCCGCCATGCCGCACCGACACTATACAATTACAAACATCCATGTCTTGTCCGAGATTCTAACCCGGGCCCTTCGGTACCGTAGTAGGCTTCCCTAACCACTATACCGTCTGGACGACAAGTAAACTAGTAAGTAAAACATGCATCAGCCTAATGCCGACCAAAAAATCACAGCATGATTTTGTGACTGTATTTGACATTGTCGTTGTGACTGTTCTCACTTGTCTGATAGTAATGTCAGAACAAGTCCACGAATTTTACTGTGGCGAGGAGAGAGTTGTGTCTTCCGCTGACGTGAGAGTTAAAACTTTATCTGTGACTTTTTGATTTAGAAGAAGAAACGCATGGCAAACAAACTATATAACTTAAAAAATGACAACAATTCTAGTTGTAAAAAATTTTTGCGATTGCTTGCAGATAAGTTTAAACAAATTAAAAGCATTCCTACAGATTAATTTTTAAATTATAAATCTTAATAAATATTTTTAAAAGACGTAGCTAAATACATACATTTTACGACGCATTCTTTGGACTTTAAGAATATTCAAGCTTAAGGTAAGCTATACAAGAAAGTTAGAAAGTTTATATTTATCGTATTTATCGTCACAATGTAATATTTTATGGGTGTTGCTAGTTGAGTTCACAGATGAAATGTTTTGAAAATATAAATATTGATATAATGTGCTGCACTAAAATTCTTCGGAATGCATTATGCAAATTAATTGTTTTAAATTTTGACTTTCCTTTTGCATTTTAAATTGGGAATAATAATAAAACAATTATAAATCGTTTAAAATATTCAGTGCTGTATAATTCTACATCTTTTATTTATAGTAAACTAAAAACTGTGTATCACACAGATTTAATATTCGTCTTTCGGGATTTGATTTGATTTCGAATTTTCAAGTTATGTAGTTCAGAGTATGATATTTCCATTCAAATATTCCCCATATCTTGCTACTACTTAAAGAAACAAATGAGATTTTAAAACCTTCTTTGATTAACAGCTAATTTTCTATATACATATTTAACTTGATTTTTATATAACGCCTGAGTCTCATCTGCATATGATGCAATATTTTCAATATATGGAATGGATAAATTAGGATTTACTTTAATAATATTCCCAAATCAACTGTCAGATAGGAGGTTGTAGTAATCAAATAGCATTTTGAGAAGATTTCTCTTGACACCCACTAAATCTCTCTTGATTTCAGACAGACTGTAAACATTCACGTGAGTCATATTAGAAGCTCTTAGCAATCGTCCATGTTTGGTAATGAAATCAAAAATACTGTCGCCGAAAGCGCCATCCCTGGTGTAGTAAGCCGAACTCAGGCGTTGAAGGGCTTCCACAATTAGTGGGAAGTTATCAGACACAGTCAAGAGAATCATACGAAGATGCCTTTCAGCGATTTTGCGGACGATTGGTTTTGTCTCTCTTATTAACTTTGTTTTAGCATCATCTATAGAAGACTGGGGAATTCGAATTACAGTTCCTTTAGAAGGTCTATAATTTTGCAGCCTCAAGATTTCTGAAATGAGGGGTGCAACTGCAGCTTCTGTTGACCAAAACGCTGTTCTGAGATCAAGCAGTGTCTCACGATTTTCAATCATTTCGTAAATGATTGGAAGGATTACTTTAGCTGTTAGGGTATTCTGTTTTTCCATAAAACTATCTTTAATACTTTCATAAGCGCTTTGGAAGATGGGATCTAATAAGCCATAAAGTAACTCGGAAATTTGTTTTTCTTGTTGGGTAACTGCGATTTCTTTTCCATCCCCAGTGCTACGCTTGAACCTTCTACTCGGAAATAACTTGGCTGAAATACATTTGCCAAGCTTTGATAGGGATTCGATATCATTTGAAACCTCACTCATTGCATCCGAAAACGAAAACCTATCAGTATGCGATGAACTAGGCAGTTCATTTAACCTGTAAATCTTTTCAATCACTCTATAGTTCAAAGTTTTAACATAGTTTTCAACCTTTTGAATGAAGGGTACTAATTTTTCTCTCATAACTAGCAAAGCGTTATCACTCATGCCTTGAATTGAGACTTCGTAGTATGGTTCAAGCTTGATGTAAACTGGAATAACAACATCTTTGATGGTTTCCATTACTAAAGTCTGGATGGTTTCAGTCAGGTTCAAAATTGAGTTCTTTAGTTCTTCAATGGAAATGGTGTGGTTCGCTTCAAGAAAGCGTTTATGCATGTTGTAATCTACAGTTTCCTTGCAGTGGAAAGTATTTGTATTTTCACAATGAGAAGTTTGGTAGTTGAAAGCCTGTCCATCAGGGCATACAAGAGATAGACATTCAGAAGATCGACACAAATGATACACCTGAAAATAATGAAAGAATAATTTCAGCATCCGCTGTGTATGCGCATGGATTTAATCTAATATGAAAACATTTTCTTGTGATTTACTGTTTATTTTATATTTTGTTAAGAACCTTCTAAACAAATCAGAGTTATGACAGTTTTAAAGTATATTTGAAAATCCTCCTTTTTCAGCCAAGAATAAAAAAAATACGTTTTAATTGAAATGATTGATTCTCTGTATTTAAGCTTAGGTAGCGATCCAATTTTTTTAACCGGTAAGTTTATGAAACTAACTTAGACCTACGTTTGAACATGCAACTAATAGTTTTAGGACTCCTTGTAAATCAAGAGCCAAATATAGAATCTCTTACCATCTGAATAAATGCAAAGCCTTCATGTTAAATGTAAATCCCTGGCATGAAAACTAATAATTTCCGTACTTGAATTTCAATGACTGAAGCCATTGTGATGGACGTTGAGGACGAAGTCTGCCGCATGTTATTACGAAAATTAAAAAAATTAATTCCTAGTAAAAATTCGGAAAACCTCTGTTCAGAGCTCGCTTCACACATTTTTTGCAGAGGTGTTCATCAGACATCAGTCAACTTTCAAATGCAACATTAACGCAAAAATTTATTTGTAGTATAATACGTAATGTTGCAAAAATTTAATACTGTTAACAACTTATCTGTTAAA